CATCGTGCAGAACTGCGGCACCGACAAGGAGAAGCGTTACGCCCGGAAGATCGAACCCATCCGCCGTAAAGGGAATTATCTGCTTTGTTCCCTCCTGCTGGGTAATGTGCTGGTTAACACCACTCTCACCATCCTCCTTGATGACCTCATCGGCTCCGGCATCGGCGCCGTCGTCGCTTCCACCATTGGCATCGTCATCTTCGGGGAGATCGTGCCCCAGGCTCTCTGCTCCCGCCACGGCCTGGCCGTGGGCGCCAACACCCTCGTGGTCACCAAGTTCTTCATGCTGGTGACCTTCCCCCTCTCCTACCCCATCAGCAAGCTCCTGGACTGCGTCCTGGGCCAGGAGATTGGCACCGTCTACAACCGGGAGAAGCTGGTGGAGATGTTGAAGGTGACGGAACCCTACAACGACCTGGTGAGGGAAGAGCTCAACATGATCCAGGGAGCCCTGGAGCTGCGCACCAAGACGGTGGAGGACGTGATGACCCCGCTGCAAAACTGCTTCATGATCAACAGCGACGCCATCCTGGACTTCAACACCATGTCGGAGATCATGGAGAGCGGCTTCACGCGCATCCCCGTCTACGAGGACGAGCGTTCCAACATCATGGACATCCTCTATGTCAAGGACCTGGCTTTCGTCGACCCTGACGACTGCACCCCCCTCAAAACCATCACCAAATTCTACAACCACCCCGTCCACGTCGTCTTCCATGACACTAAGCTGGATGCCATGCTGGAGGAGTTCAAAAAGGGTGAGAGGGGACAGGGGGGTGCCACCGCCTCCCTGGGGTGACAATTTCTTCCCCTCAGAGGAGGCCGGCGGATGCCGGAAGCAAAACTCCTGGAGAGTTTTACCGTCTGGGGTTGGAGCTGCCCACAGCGGGGCTGCATGGGGTCCCCACGGGTGGGTCGGTGGGGATCCAGAGGGGACTGGGTGCCTGGGGACACGCTATTTGGTTGCTGGGGACGGATGGCACGGCACCGAACCGGGGCAGCTGCGCACCCGTGGGCTTCTGGGGTTTGGCATGTAACGGCGCTGCGCCCGTGCCGGGGAGGAAGAGCCGCTGTTAATGCCCACAGCGGGGCTGCATGGGGTCCCCACGGGTGGGTCGGTGGGGATCCAGAGGGGACTGGGTGCCTGGGGACACGCTATTTGGTTGCTGGGGACGGATGGCACGGCACCGAACCGGGGCAGCTGCGCACCCGTGGGCTTCTGGGGTTTGGCATGTAACGGCGCTGCGCCCGTGCCGGGGAGGAAGAGCCGCTGTTAATCGGCGGAGGAGCAACCAGTGCTCAGTGCCAGCCTGGAGAAACACTTTGGGAGTGTTTACATCCTCCTTAGTTTTAATTATCGGCCCCAGAGGCTCTTGAAGAGCTGCTGGAAAATTGCTGGGCTCCCTGGTTTGGGCTTGGCCCCTTCCCCACCCCAGGGAATGGCGAGTGCTGCTCGGTGTCAGCCCCTGGCCCCGTTCATGGCATCGGAGCCCCTCAAAGTGAGAGCAGGAGGAGGAGCGGGACCAGGGCTCGCCGGAGCCTGATCCCACCGGGAGCGGGAAGGGCTGTGTTGGCTCGGAGGCAGGATTTGACCTGCCCGGGGCCCCGCTCAGGGCTTTGCCAGACATTTCGGGGGGGGTCTTGGCAGTATTTGAGGGGTCTAATAATTCCCCTTGCAGTGAGAGGTCGGCGTGAGCGTGGGCGAGGGTTTGGGAGCTGGTAGGTCCGAGCCTGGCTGGTTTTTGGAGTCAGTTGGAGCCAGCAGCTCTGCTTCTGCCTCATTTTGCAACCGGGCTTCCTCTGGACATGAAATACCGGCATGGGAACAACACCCCTTCGGCATCGCTCGTGGTTGTGGGGATGACGATGGGATCTCATCATCCTGGAGCTGCCCCGATGAGTGAAAAACCTTCTTGGCAAATGCTTTTCCTTCAGTTCATCTCACACCAGTTCGAGAGCCGCCGTAGGAGCATGCAGCCATCCCGCTGCACCCCAAATCCAGCAGCACAGATGGAGAGCCGTGTCGCTGCCGGAGCTGAAGTTATCCCGGCTGCTGGCACCAGCTCTCCTTCCAACGAATCCTTATTAAAGGATTTAAGGCGCGCTCGTTCCGGTTACAAAGCCTCCCGTGTCCTGTAATGTTTTTTTTTTCATTGCTGCCTCTCTGGGTCAGGGGCGGGTGATTTGCGGGGCCACCGCCTGAGCTGGTTTTGGGGTCCCTCGGAACCCCCATCCTCGTGGGTGCGACACCGCAGTGCCTCGCTGCCTTCATTCCACTGATGAAGACCCGGGTGAGAAAAAAAGGATAAAGAGGGAAAATGGAACCGTCTGCACTTCTGATCGTTCTAATTCCGGGGCTCAGCACCCGGACCTCCTCCCCCCCAGCGCCTCAGGTGTCCCTGAGAGTGGCCTCGCGGTGACAGCGGTGTCCAGCTTCTTCCCGACCTTCTTCCCACCCAGCGTGAAGCTTTGAGTGGGGAATGACCCCCCCGGCCTCCCCGCCGAGCTCAGGGTGCTGCTCTCTCTCCTCGGGTGGGTCGCAGGGTGCGTGCAGGGTCTGTCACACCCAGCTGGTGATGCCACCGCTGCAGTGCCCTTTGCTCCAGCGATTTGGGCTCCCTGCCGCGTGTTTGCTTTGCCACCGGCCGCTCCCTGCCGAGCTCAGCCTTGGCCGCTCATCCCGGAGAGGAACCTCCGCCTGACTCATCAGGGCTGGCCCCACGGCCTTTCCCCGGAGCCGCCGTGTCCCCCCGAGGGGTTCAGCGGGTGGGTAGAGGGGTTTTCACAGCCCAAGCGACAATTTGAGGGTCTTTTACCCCCTCTACACATAACTGTTTTGCAGCAGGGTTGCCTGAACCCTGTGAACTTGGGTGAAGAAGGAGAAAACAGGGACCTACGCCGCGCTTGTCCCTAAAATCAGTTTTTTCCCTGAGCGAGGAGGGGCTGGCAGCCACCAGCTCTAAAATTAAATAGCTGATGGTGTTGGGGAGGGTGGATTTGTGCTGGAGAGGGGCACCTTGCCGCTGGCCCGGGTGCGAGCGTGGTGCTTGAGGAAGTAGAAGTGATTTTTTTCAGGCTGCACAGGGGTCAAGGAAGGGAACGTCGCTTTCCTCGTGCCTCAGTTTCCCCAGGCTAAGGATACCGGTCCCGCAGGTGCGTTGGCCTGGGCGTGCTGCGGTTTTCCGCGCGGCCACTCGGCTCCTCTCCCCAGAGAAGAGGTGGGTGTCCCGAGGAGGAAGAGGTTTTCCTGGCAGCTCGGTGCAATTTTGGGACAAAGCAGGAGAAACATCATCTCACGGCACAGCTCGGCCGTGGAAGGAGCGACAGCGGCTTCAGCGCGAGCCGTCGGTTCGGATTTAGCTGGAAGAAGGCAAAACGATGTCCTGCTTGCGCGGGGTGAGGCCGGCAGAGCGAGGGGAGCTGGTAATTTGGGGCTGGAGAGATCTTCCTGCCCGTGAGGACCTGCCTGCTTGTGGCCAGCGCCAGACGGGCAGCGGCTGCCTGCCCTTGGCTCTCTTCCCCCGGAG